TCTGATCTGATCTGATTGGTTCTGATTTGATTGAAAATTGTAATGATAATTCATATTATAATATAATCAATATTTTTTTATGATTATTTTTTAATGAAACAAAATTAATTAACTCATATATTAGAATAATCATTCATATTATAATGTAATAATATTTTTTATTTTATGATTTTTTTAATGAATAATATTGATTTAATATTTTAATAATTAGTTTATATAAACATTAGAATAATTATTTAATTTATATATGCACTAAAATGTTATTTAATATAGATAATCAATGTTATTAATAATCATTAATATTTTTATTAAAAGATCACATCCTTATATTATCAATGTTAAGCAAAGAAATAATACATTTTTCATTAATAATTAAAGATTACTTTCTCGGGTTTCTATTTAGCTTGTTTCTAAAGTTTATTATTTTTTATTTTTAAGAAAAGAATTGTGCTTCATATCATTTATTTTATTCTACATAAATTATAATCACACAAAAAGTTTCATGTTCTTTCTTCTTATATTTTTTAAATAGAATTAAATTTATTTTTTAAAAGAACCGTATCAAGTGAAACAACTAAAAAATATGGAATTTAAAAAGTAAGGAGTAATAAAGATATTGATAATGATAATAATAGTAGTAGTAGTAGTAGTAATAATAATAATAATAATAATAATAATAATAATAATAATAATAATTCTTATTTAGATCTGATCTGATCTGATCTGATTGGATCTGATCTGATCTGATTAGATTAGATCTGATCTGATTATATCTGATCTGATCTGATTAGATCTGATCTGATCTGATCTGATCTGATTAGATCTGATTAGATCTGATCTGATTTTAATAAGATTAAGAAAAAAGCAGAAAAAATAAATTGAACGAAACGGGGCCTAAATCAGCATTTGTAATCCAAGCAAAAAAATGAGGCGGATATTTCTACAACCATCCTCGGCAATTTCCTCGTGATTCTATTCTAAAACCGCCACATCAACAAAATAAATAAAATTAAATTACTCCGTAAAAGAGAAAGAAAAGAAAAACGAAACGGCTAGACCATTTATTTCCTCAGGTAGTCAACGAATGAGTCATACTTTTTCTATGGCTGCTGACTTTTATTTTTACCTCGATAGTATTTATACTTTGGCCCCACATCTTTTCACTTTTTCAGGTCGACCCCGCGTACCTCATATTTATAGGGATGAAGAAATTTACAATATAAATTAGACTAAAACATACTCCCTCCGTCCGAAAATATTCTTCTTATTTTCCTTTTTGGTCCGTCTGAAAATATTTTTTCCATTTCTTTTTTTAGTATATATTTTAAGGCTAAATATCAATAATACCCTTCTATTTTACCACAAATCTACTTTTTTTAGTACTTTTTTAATAATAAAATTAAAGGAGATTTAAAAGTTTATAGTATTTACATTTTTGAAAAATTTGCATTTTTTTACTATTCCTTAATAAGCGTGCCAAGTCAACACGGGAAGAACATTTCCGGACGGAGAGAGTAATTTAGTTTCCAATGTAGGGATGTATGCGATCTGTGATCGGTGATGGTCCGCAATATTACCGGAATCGGTATGAGACCAACCCTAAAATCATTTGGTATATATTCGTTTTGTTTATATAAGTACTCCGTATCAAATTTGAATTTAAGATGATCATAAATATAACGAATAAAAGATAACGAATCTAAATTTTAATTTTTTTTTCAATTCATACAAAACCAGACTATTAACAACTCCCAAAAATAATGATCAAGGTAGTAATAAAATATAATAGCAACAATAATAATGAAAGAATATTAAGAAAAGAACAATATAATACGGAGTAAGTAGTACTCTATATAAGTAGTCAATTAAGGAGTTAAGTGCACCGTTTACCCCTGTACTCTTTAAAAATTGCATTTTTACCCCTAAACTTTAAAAAGTGCACCGATTACCCTCGAACTCTTCGAAAATTGCACGATTTATCCCCGCACACTAAAAAATGCCCCAAATACCCTTAAACAAATTAAAACGTTGCATCGTTGGTCCTAAACTATTAAATAGGGAGTGCGTTGCTTCCACGCACAAGAATTGCGAATATGATTCATCTGACCCATGTGAATTTTCCAAAGTACATTTACCCAAAATTGTCGTCTTTATTTAAATGTTCAGGAGTAAACAGTATAATTTTTGAAGAGTTTAGGGGTATTTGGTGCAATTTTTATTGCTCAGGGGTAAATCGTGCAATTTCTGAAGAATTCAAGGATATTTGGTGCACTTTTCAATGTTCGGGAGTAAACCATGCAATTTTCAAAAAATTCGGGAGTAAACGGTGCACTTAACTCGTCAATTAAGTATTTGAGATATTTTGTATATAACTTTAAATAATACGGTCAATCATAATCACTTTTATATATTTGTATTATGGTCCCATCTCATTTGATATTAATTCAATTTAAATTCAAAAAATAAAAAAAATTATTTCATTTAAAAACATAATAAACGATTCTAGTTTTGTTTTTTTTTGACTACCCTATCTACCCCACTGAGAAGAGTTCGAAAAAGTGATTGTGGGGGAAGTGGAAAACGGAAAACCCTTTTGGCCTTCCCCTTCCCATTCCCTTCCATTTCGTTGCCTCTCTCACTCCAATACCCGCTTCTCGCAACCGCAATCCTTCATCATTAAGCACCGCTTCTTCTTCTTTCTTCCACCGCCACTTCCTTCTTCTTTCTTCTTCTTCTTCTTCTTCTTCTTCTTCTTCTTTGTGTCTTTGCGGGCTATCTCCGTGCGCATGTCGTGCTATCTCCGTGCGTGTGTCGTGTTATCGCCGTGCGTCTGTCGGGCTATCAGTAAGATCTTTGTATCTGTTTGTTTTTTTGCTTATATTTGCTTGTGAAATCGAATTCTTGGTTAAAGTTTGATTCTTTGCGGTCAATTTTGCCTCACAAGAACAAGAATCAGCTAGCTCAATTGTCTGATCAATGGACTGGTTTCGGATTCACCCAATATTTTTTTGGCGGCGAGGGGTTAGTTTCTAGAAGCTTCCCAGGGTTGAAATTTGTTGCTTATTTGGTAATCTGTGAAAGCTAAATTGTTTGTAGTTTTTGAGCTCTGCCTGGAAGAGTAGGTTTATGTGATTTGGGTAAGAACAAGAGAAATGAAGAAGACTTTTAAAAAATTTCAGATTATTGTGAGCTAGAATGACCTGAAATAATTGGCATTTTTCACTTACAGTTTGATATGGAGTATTTTTTTCATCCGCTCTTTTCCCCCTTCATGTCCCATTCATGCAATTCTCTGATTGTTTTGCTCACACAGCATTGTTATTGTGTTCATAGCAACTGATTGCGTTCAATTATCAAGAAGCTGATATCGACAACCAAAAGATTTGCATCCGTTTCCTCAAAGAAGGCTAGCCGAGATGGGAAATTGCTGTTGTTCTGCAAGGAAGCCGCTGCTCCATGGAGCACCTGTATTTTACTATGTGGGTGCTCATTTTGGTTATATCATGTGACACATTTTTTAAAAAGAAAAAAGCAATAAAACACTTATTTTTACTAACCCAGAGCTGTTCTTAGGTATATAACATTAGAAACATTCTTTTCCTTAAAAACAAAATCCTTTTTTGTTGAGCCTTCATGACTGACTCTTGAATGTTCTTCTTGGTGCAAAAGTTCAAAGAAGAACTGTGTTGAAATCCTCATTACAAGATTTTAGTTTTTAATTGCAGTATTCGCCATCGTCAGAGGAGCATGATTCTTTGACCTCAAATGACAGTGCAGCTACGGGGTTCATGGCTGATTTGGACCTCGATACCTCAAGTCCGGACACCTTTAGCCCTCCGCCCCCACCCATTCCTTTTGACATACTCTTGGGGTGCCCCCAATCATCAGATGCTGAAGATTCTAGGTTGGTTACCCAGTCTTAGCTGTGATTAGATCATATATAACACTACCTGCTTAGATATGAATGTTTCTGACTTGCCTCTTACTTCTTCAAGGAAAAATGAGCTTGAGCGTTTAAAATCAAGCCGAGTTTCCCTCTCATTAGCTGAAGAAGAGGATGTTTGCCCTACCTGTCTTGATGGTATGTATGTGTACAATCCCAGCAACTGCACTTGTTTAATCACATAATCTTGTGTCAATCCACTGATGTCTGCTAATAAGCTAATTACCACATTTGCAAGGGATGGAGTTTTTTAGAATCTAAAGTGACTAATGATCAAATTAGAGCTTGAAATACAGATTTCAAATTAATTTGCTTCCAAAAATGTATCTGCAATAATATATATAACCTATTCAATGCTCTCTCAACTTTTTTTGCCATTATCACTTTGTTTCAAAATTACCACTTGGAGTTAATAGTTTCCAAATAACTGATATTGCAGAGTACAACGCAGACCACCCAAGAATAAAAACAAAATGCAACCATCATTTCCACCTTTCGTGCATCCTCGAGTGGATGGAAAGAAGGGACACATGCCCTATATGCAACCAGGTTTGTTTCTCTAACATGATGAAACTTTAGCTTGAAGATCAATTTGCATTATTAGGTCCTTTTTTGTCATTCTGGTTTACACCTAAGGTAATAAATATTGTCCTCTTTTTCTTCTTCTTCTTCTTCCTCTGGCAGGAAATGATTTATGAACCTCTGTGATATATAGCAGTTGTCATGCTGTTAAGTAGATTCTTTTTATTATATATTTCCAGCTTTGGTGGTTTGCTGTATGCACCCCTGGGAAATTCTTCTCATCCTTGCCATAATCTTGTTGTATAGGTCTCTTCTTCTTTTCTTTTTTGTAATTTTTCTGTAAATAATTTTAAGAGACTCATAATTTAATGGGTGCATTTGGGTTTTATATTCAGTGTATACCATAAATATCAATTGCTGAAATATGTCTTCATATTGTATATCAATATAGATATGTATTCTAGGCTAGGCCTCTTTATGTGGGGTTTTAGGAGGCCTAAAAATAAAGACATTTTTTTGTTGTCACATACACATGTGCAAGTTCCGTGCGCCTTTTGAGCGTGTTGACGGACATTGCACATATGTGTGTACCAACACAAAACATCGTCAATGCATGTTTACAAGTTTTCAGTTTGTTGAAGAAAAAACAATTTTGATTTTTTTAAAATTTACCTTTAGTTCTTTGCCCATTTTCTTTTTGTTCATCAAATACTTAATCAGAAAAAGTGTTCATTTTATTCTACTCTTAAGAAGTGTTTATTTTACTTCACTCTTTATTTGCTAGTGTAAAATTACAATTGAACTTACTTACTCTAAGGGATGAGTTTATCCTTTTTTAGAGAAGTGTTTATTTTTAAAGTTAATAATCATAACAGTGAATGAACATTGTTAAAATGGCTGGGTACAGTGGCCATATGAGAGAATATTTAATCACTAAATTTCAAGTCTTGAATCAAATACTTAATCACTAAACAAGTAAATGCTGCAGAGTAGTTCATTCTTTATTATGAAAAGGGAGATCTAAATTCTAAGTTAAGAATCTTAAATTAAAACATCTTCTATCTTCTCCAATGGAGTCAAATGACGGTTGGGTACCTGCGGTGCCCCATTTATGAAAAAGATGGTTCCTACCCTCCTCCTAAACCCCCCACCACAGCTAGGGGTGTAAACCAATCGAATCAAAACGAATACTGAAATATTTGAATTTGAATTTGTTTAGTTTTTTCGAATAGGAATCCGAATATGAGACGAATTCAAAATAAAATTTGAATCTGTATTTGATTAATATTCGAATAGTTAACGAATCCTAAACGAATATTTGAATGATCATACTCTGTAATTTATATGATGGACCAACATCGATTTGTAATTTAACTTACGATACTCTTTATACTATACTATACTCCGTATCTAAAAACGTTAATACATTTGCATCTTACACAAATTATATTTTATAAAATATAACTATTATAAATTATATGCTTTAGATTTTCATGTTACGTTAATTTGTCGAATTCTTAGTAATTTAAATATACTTTATATTATATTGGTTTGTTTGATTATTGATGTTGAAAACATGGTCAGTGTGTATATACATATATTCGAATATACGAATATCATCTGAATCGAATATATTCCTATTTGTATTTGTATTTGTATTTGTTTAATATTCGAATAAAAAATAAGATTTGAATTTGAATTTGTATTTGAATAATGCGAATTTGAATCATTATATTCGAATACGAATGACGAATCGAATTAAAAGTATTTGATTTGTTTACATCCCTAACCACAGCCCCACCCCCTCCCTACCATGGTAGTATACTGCTAGAAACTTATTAAAGGTACATAAGTCAAAGTTACGTAGTTGTGACTTATGTACTTTCTAATTTTCATTATTTCACAAATAACTACATTTTATCTATATATCATTCTTTAGATAAAAAATCTAAATGAAAAATCCCAAAAAAAATCTAAAAAAAGATTCTCGAACCGACACCAGAATTTGACCGGCTAGTTCTAAAACTATAGCAGAGACTGCGAGCCACCAGTACTGGTGGCAGTACCTTACTCGGGCGGTACAAGAACCACTGTACGAGTCTATGCCTATTATATAGGAATAAGTTTTTAAATTACTCCGTATTCAAAAACATAGAGAAAATTCATGCCAATATTCCTATTTTTGAGGATTATAGAATATTACTCTCAATTGCTCACCATTGCTATGAGAAATTAAGAAATCAGCCAAAATGTAAATAAAATATAGAGTAAATTCCATAAAAGGTCTCCTGTTATAGATTGTTTTACATATTTAGTCCATACATACCAAATATTACTAATTTAGTCTTCAATTATTATATTCATTTCCACGAATGGTCCTTTGATAACATTTCCGTTAAGAGCGTGGATAAAATTGTAAATTTACACTCCTTTCTCTCCTCAATTAAGCTTCCTCCCTCCCTTTGCACTTCTTTCCCAAACCCGTCGCTGAGTTTGAAGCTTTGAACGAAATCATCACTCTTCTCTCAATTGTTTGTCTAACTGGTGGAACCCAAATTCGAAACCAGTAACCTTCATGGATGATTTTTAATGTTTATTTTCTTTGCAATTTGTTGAGACTAACCGATAAAACACATCCATAAAGTTTATTGGTTTTGATTTTAAGTTCCACCAGGAAGACTAATAATTGAGAGAGGAATGATCATTTCAGTTTTGAGTTTTGAGCTTCAAACTCAGCGACGAGTTTGGGAAAGAGTACGAGAGTGGGGAGGAAGCTTAATTGAGGAGAGAGAAGTATGAATTTATAATTTTATCCATGTTCTTAACAAAAACGTTAACAAAGGACCATTCGTGAAAAATAATCTAATAATTGGGGACTAAATTAGTAATATTTGATATGTATGGACTAAATATGTAAAATGACCTATAACTCGGGACCTTTTATGAAATTTACTCTAAAATATAGCTCTTATCCTTAAAGTAGAAGTAACATGTTTTTATCCCAAAAATAAGAGTTTACACTAAAACAATGTGACACTGTCTATTTACATTCCACAATATTTTTTTGTATTACTCCCTTTGTATTACACCAAAGGGAGTATATGCTAACATTATTAGCATTGTAACTCTTTTTTGGAAATAATAGCATAAATCTTCTCTTTTGATAATTTCTCCATCTTTTACTTATAGTTTAATTTTTTCCCCTTAGAAATTGTCATATTTTAATTTACATCACTACTTTTGTCTAGTTGATTTAACATCGTATTGGCAACTAGCATTTCATTTCAATTCATGAATTTCAATTCCAAAATTTGAAATCTTGAATTTCAAATGACAAGTGGAGGTGCATGGATTTCAAATTAAGCTTTGTTTTGAATGTAAAGAATTTGATTCAAATCCAAATTCAAAATGCTTAAGTTTCCCAAACATGGAATTTAACCCAAATCCGGATTTGAAATCCAAATCCATGTTTCCAAACATACCATTAACTAATATGAAATCTAAAATTAAGTCGCCAACATATCCAAAATAATTAAATTAAAATGGGCACCATTCATTCTATTTTGAGCATCTTAATTAAAATATCATTGAATCTGGTGAAATTGTCTGTCCTTTCCACAATCTTTTTCTTTAGCGTGAAATTAGTTAAACGAGAGACCTTTGGCGCATTTAGATAAGGGCTTGTTTAGGAGTAGTGTTCGAGGTTAGCGTCACTATTTTGAAAATTCTATTCGATGTGCCGTGTTTAGCGTTAGCATTTTCAAAGTTAATTTGCACCGTTAAAATTTTATCCAATAACTAATCGAAAACGCTATTCCCAGACGAGTCCCAAGTCAGCTCAATATTTCTAATGTAATATCAGCCAAAATAATTCTACGCATTTAAACTTGAAACTGACTCAATCAAATTCAAGTCACGATGTAAAATCTTTTTATTCTTCGAAGTATTAATATACACAAGAGACTTTGGGAGTAATATTATACAGAGAGCGTCTAAAATGACACCAGAAATTTATACACCAGTTGCTTACACCAGTTCGTTTGGAGTACTTACGGTGCCCCGTTTGTAAAAATGGCAGTTCCTACCCCCCTAACCCCCTAACCTTTCCACCCCAGCCCCCTCCCTATCCTGGCAGTATACTGCCTGGTAGGGAGGGGGGCAAGAGGGGGGTTGGGGGATTAAGGGGGAGGGTTAAGGAGGTAGGAAGCATCATTTTTACAAACGGAGCACCGGTAGGTACCCCAAACGAACCGGTGTAAGAAAATGACACCAAGAGAACTGGTGTCATTTTAGACTTACTCTATTATATAATCAGTCAAATCTAGAAATACTGATGTGATTTTTTCAAATACTTTTCAGTGATGATGTGAAAACAACTTTTAGTAATAAACCAATAATACTATATATAGATAACCCTATTTGGTTATTCAATTATTCTACAATTCCATCATACAACTCACACAATACAACTCAAACTTTCCTCCTTTTAAGAAGGATCCTAGATCTCTCAACCTTGTTTAGCCCTCTCAACCCCCTTGCTTCTTCCCCCCTCCCTATATCTCTCAACTTAAAAAAAAAAGGGCCAAGAAGAAATAGTTGAAGAACCAAAGGAGCCAAAGAGAAAAAGGAAGGTTCAGCCTTGACAAGCATCCCTTCAAATTAGGTATTTTACTGGTATGTCTCTGTCTCTCTCTCTCCCACTCTCTCTCTAGTCTCTTCCCCCTTTCTCTCTCCCGAAAATTCTTTGAAAAAAATCAAAATTTTCAACTGAAGTGCTTTGTGTCTGTTCAAAAAATCGAAAAAAAAAACTCTTTACATCTATCTATCTGTACAGACAGCCTTCACTTTCTTTCCATGTATACATACGCTTGGTGAATGAATGTATAGATATAGAGAGAGAAAGAGAGATCTAAGAGCGCTGGGCCTTATCGGTGCCCCAAAGACCCTAGAGGCGGCCACGATTATCCACTTCCCGCCCAAAAACCGAACACTTACTGATATTCTTCCTGGAATCGAAACCCATTTTGTTCAAAAAGAAAGCAATAAATTCCAATTCGATTGAGCTTCGCGTTTGCCCTGCAAGTGGATCTCTTTGAAGGGGGGAGGGGCGGGGTTTTTCTTTCCGCCCCTTCGCGATCATCAAATTTGATTGGGTTTCGCTCTGCTACTTTTGTGATGAATTTTGGTTTTAGGGTTTTGATTGTGAAATGGCTGGATGGTCAAAAAGAGTTGGTGGGTCGGGTCTAGAATGCTTGAGGTCACATGAAAAGCCACAGGAGAAACCTGCTTCTGAAGTGGGGGTTAAAGACTCTAGGAAGGAGGTTGAGGGAGAAAAAATCAATACCGAGATTGGGATTCAGTTTAATAAATTTGTCACTCATTTGCTTAAAGAAGCACACGGTCCTCGGTGTTTTAGGCCGATGCCTCCCATGCTTGGGAATGAGAAAGCTGTTGAATTGTTTAAGCTCTATGTTGTTGTGAGGGGGAGAGGTGGGTACAGGGCCGTTTCAAGGAGTGGGCAGTGGGATGTAGTTGCTAAGGAATGTGGGTTTGATTTTCGGGCTGGGTTGCCTTTGAAATTGGTTTATGCCAAGTATCTGGATTCACTTGACAGGTGGCTGCAGAAGCATATTGAGGAGCGGGAGGGCGATGCAAGGCTAATTGACATGGATGTTGGTGGGATATCAATGAGCATTGAACCAAGTTTCTTGGATATCATTGGGAAAATTTTGGAAATGGAGACGGGCAGTGAGATTGTCAATGCTGACTTGGAGAATTCCAATGCTGCTGTTGATCGTGGAAATGAACCGCAATCAGTAACTATTAAAGCAAACATTAGTGTAAAATGTGGTAAGGATGATAACGGACCTGTCTCCACTTTGCCAAAGGAGGAAGATAATGTTGGCAGGAAGAGGAAATTGGAATCTTGCTTGGATATGTTAAACTGGGTTCTTAAGGTTGCAAAGGATCCTACGAACCTATCAATTAAGCCATTACCTGATGTTTCCAAGTGGAAGTCTTATGGGACTGATGAGATGTGGAAGCAAGTTCTGGTGCTGAGAGAGTCAATGCTCTTGAAAAGGGACACAAGTTTAAGCCACCAAAATTCTGTTTGGCAGGTATGTGTGTGTGTGTGTGTGTGTGTAAAATCAATTATTGCATCTAGTGTTCGCATAATTTGCAAACATACATATCCAATCCGTCTTACCAATGAGGGTTAGATGTCTATATCTGCATTTTTCACATGTTTCTTGGATTAATTTTTTTTATCAAATGGATTGTAGTTAAAATTTTCAAACATGGTCATTTCATATCCTTTTATCATCTAGAGTTATTCAGTTATTTTATGGTACAAGTGTAAAACCATATGTATACAAATACCTTAAAATCATTTTCTCAATGGAGTTTTATATGCTTGCTAATGAGAAATAAATTGCTCACTAAATAAAAGTTGTGTCACTTGTGTGTTTAGTAGCAAAAAATGAGTTGCTATATGTACTGCCATTGCACAACAAAGAATAATTACATGCTTACAGTGTTCTCGTACATATGCTTGAAGGATATAATTTATGTATCATCAAATGGTTAATATGCTTTATAAATGCTGGAAATAATTTATAAAGAGTGTGATATTACAAATTGTAACTTTTTCTCTAATTTGCATTCTTATGAGCTTTTGGCACGTGAATCGTTTAATTAATGCATAATGCTAGTAATGATGTTGTGTGGGCATGCAGAGCATGTTAGCTCTCCTGCTCTTAAAGTCAGTTAATGCATATTCTTTTACTAATGTAGTTTTATTTCTTTTTTTGGCTTAGTTGATCAAGGCATATATTATGATTAATGATATGATTTAAAAACACTCCATATCTTTCTATTTCAAGGCATGCATCAATGTTGGGTTGTTAATTGTTATCTTATTTGGACAAGTGGTCTAGGTTTTACTGCTGTATATTCAATTACCGGAGTATAATGTAATATTCCATGCTCTCAATAGTAAGTATATCGTGATATTATGTTGATTATAAAGGAGTTCAACCTAATTGTTAGTTTGTTACGAGAGCAATACTATTTGCAGTGTCTATTTCAGTCATTTGTACCCTTTTTAATGCAATAGAAGTTGATTTTTCCATGCTAACACAAGGCTGGGGCAGTTATTGAATAATATCCCATATATTGGATTGATATGAGGTAATATATAAACCCTCTTTTTTTTTTGAAAAAAAATTAAAACATTAGAGTGCAAATCACATTCAAGTTCTTTTTTTTGTTGAAAAAAAGAGTTGTTGAAAATGTTCCCATTTATTTATCCATTTCTGTGGTTTGGTTGCATTCTATTTGCTTGGCTGGAGCATGCATTAGTAACACGTATATACTAATAAAGTACTGCAATAAATATTGTTGTTATTAATATACCATGATGTTACACATGAATCAATCTCCTGTCTTAACTTCATTATTCTATGAAAATTCTGTTTTTTGATAGAGGTCACAGAGGATTCATCCCACAATGTATGAGGATAGGAATCCTCCATCTGATAGAGTAAGATGCAGCCCAAGGCTAGTTTTTGCAAAAGACGATTCTTCCAAAAAGAAACGCACACATCTTGCTACTGGATCAACATCAACAAGTGTTCAGAGTGATGATGATCCCAGCGACACCCAAGTTGACTCTACCGAAGATTTAGACGTGGGTCGTTGGTGGAACCTGCGTCGCAGGCAACGGACACCTGTTGGACCAAATTTCCAAGCAGACATTCCGGAATGGACCGGTGAGATCACAGAAAGTGATTCTAAATGGTTGGGATTCCAAATTTGGCCTTTACCGAAAGGCGAGAAACGTGGAATGTTCATTGAAAGAGAGTCTATTGGAAAAGGAAGGCGAGATAGTTGTGGCTGCCGAATCCCGGGTTCCTTGGAGTGTGTTAAGTTCCATATTGCTGAGAAAAGGCTAAATTTGAAATATGAATTGGGATCTGCCTTCTATCTATGGAAACTTGATTGTGCAGGCGAGGATGTTGCATTGCTTTGGACCAAAGGAGAAGAAAAGAAGTTTGAGGATATAGTGAAATCGGAATCTCTGGCATCACCAAGCAAGTCTTTCTGGGATGAAATATTTAAGCAGTTCCCTAGGAAGAGTAGAGGCTCACTTGTAAGCTACCATTTTAATGTTTTCCTTCTAAGACGCCGAGCTCACCAGAATAGGTTCACACCAACAGAAATTGACAGTGATGATGACGATGAACAGTGTGGTCCGAGGGCAAACTTTTTTGGACGGGAGGGCACTAAGCCTTCAAACTCCATCTTCTGTTCTCCAAAGAAGTGAGCCCAGAGTCCTCCAGAGTCCAGACAGTACATATGGTTTCATTATGCTCTACTGAATGGTTCATATTTGTAAATTGCACAAGTCTTAAAAGTGGCTTTACTCTTGACATTTTTTGGGGGTAGTTGGAATACGTTTGGGGTCGCCCGATGGGCATTTAAAGGTTTGCCCATTTCATTGGTGTTTGGATGGATAGCTTCCTTAAACACATATACTGAAAACCTGATAGCCACATAAGGAAATTTTTGCATTGTTATGGTCATCATGGCTCCCCATGGTTTTTACCACAGTGACTGCTCATTGGTGAGTTACTACTGTACATTGTTTTTTCTTGTCATTTGAGACTTGAGTTCAATATGGGATTTCTCTCTGGCTAAAACACATCTAATTGTTCCTTCTTTAGCATTTCTACCATGTCTCTTCATGTTTCTGACTTTCTGTTACTAGTTGCACACGTACCAAATCTGTTATCTTTGTCTGATCTGATTGATTTTGATCTGAATATTAAGATCTAAACCGATCTTAGTTAAGATTAAAGATATTTCTGATTTGATCTAAACTAATTCCAATTAAAATCAAGTTGAAGAGAACACAATCATAGAATTGTTTTACGTCCAACGCATTTAAAAGATAACAAGTGCATTCAATGCAGTCTTTTAAAGGAAAATCTTTTAAAGTTATGAATGAAATGTTAGGAAGAAATCTTCATTTTTTTGTGATTGTGTGTGGTATTCTTTTAAATGCTTAAATTTAAGAGTTTAATAACCTTGTTGTTGTACCTTTTAATAATAAGGTTACTCTTCATGAACATTAACCATTACTTACGTTTGTGTTTTTTTACTTAAGAAGTTTTATAACTTTAAGTCTGGTAACATAAAAAATTCGGCAAACGATTTCCTTTGTTACTTTTTCTTTTTAAAGGTGAAATATATTTTTGTTAGAGATTAAAAAAATGAATACATTTTTGTTACAAGGTTTAAAGTTAGAGAGACTTTCAATTTGCTCAAGTTGTACCAATTCAGATGTAAAATGAAAATGTTAATACATTTTTATTTTTACCTATGTGAACTTTAATATTTAGAGGTGAGTATTAGACTATGCACCTTTTTTCAATGAACGTGTTTGCGTTGATGAAATTCTTACTAGATGCAACCTTTGTTCCAAAATACTGTAGCCAATTGGTAAAATGAAGAGGGAAGGAGGGTGTTGTAGCGGGGTGGGCATGTAGGGTGCAGGGGGGGTGTTATAGGGATATGAAGCATCAATTTTACCAACGGAGCTGTAGGAGTCCCAAGTCATAATATGACTCGGGTTCTCAAGTTAAAAGATCCTTGCCCCAAAATATTGTTACAATATAATGTTGAAAATATTACTTGGTATAAAGTGTCCACACAATACAATATTAGGTTTTATAAGGAAAAGTTTTGTCTTGGTTTATTAATAATCCAAAAACAACTAATTACAAAAATGTGTCAGGTAAATTGGCAAGAAGAAAAAAAGTAATCCATCGTAGATTGTACTCTATCCGTAAAAAAAAACTCCTTAATTCTTTGACAGTTCACAATCTTTTTCTCTCATCTTTCCTTTTCGAAATACTTTAAACGCTTCACAATCTTTCTCTCTCCTCTTCATCACTCTTAATCACACATTTTCACTTTTCGTAAACATTGTGTCAAGCCAAAATGAAAGTATTTTTTTAGACGGATGTAGTAAAATTGATTTTATTAAAGACAAAACTATAAGTTACTGAGGTTGATAAATTAATATGCACGAATTTCACGGCTTTTATTTTAACAAGAGAGTCTAAATTTCGATACACTTTATTTTAGTTTATTTCTTACTCCCTCGTCTTTTGGAGCAATTCTTCTTTCATTTTTGTTTGTTTATTTCAAAATACTTTCACTTTTGCAAGCAATTAGCTATATACTCCGGTATCTAAATAAAGTCGTTACAATATACTCTATCCATTTTGCATTGATATAATTAATCATTTAAGTAATTTAATTCTCTGTATTCTTCAATGCTAAAATATACGGAGTACATACCATAGTTTTCAGAACCGAACCGGTGATCGAACCGGTCAAGGCACTGGTTCACTGGTTCACTGATCGAACCAGTGGTTCGAGTGGTTGAACCGGTGGTTCAAACATTTTTAATAAATAGATAAATATATATAATTAAAATAATATAAAGAAATATATATATATATGTATGTATGTATGTATGTATGTATGGATAGATACGTTGTGACATTGAATTAAAAAATTAATATATGAGTAAATAAAATAATATTTCCTCTATTTATAAATAAAGAATTGATGTTTTATTAAATTTAAAATTTAACTTAATTTACTTGAGTTGTGTCATTAAATAAAAAATAAAATTTACTTATTGAAAAAAGTTTATAAATAAAATGTTATTTGAATTTTTTTTAAACATTTTACCTATTATTTAAAAATATATATATAATATTTGTGTGATATGCACTCCCTATCAATTACATCAATGGGTTTTGAATTTTCCTTTAAAAAAAACTAAATATGTATATGTATTTAGAGTATTTGATAATAACAAATTTATTTTAAGAATATTTTAAACGAAAAGTAGGGAGTGACCACCAAGCTTTGTAGCGGAGATGGTCTGTGGTTGCCTCTTTCAACAAAACATCCTGGGTTCGAATCCCAGTGATGTGTTTTTTAAAAAACTTCAAAAAGGAGTTAAAAAACCGGCGGTAAAACCGCCCGGTTTCCGCCGGTTCACTGCTGAAACGGTCTGATTGTCCGGACCATACCGCTTCGGTTGCCGGTTCACCGGTTCCCGGTCGGACCGGTTTTTAAAACTATGGTACATACTCCGTAATTGAGAAGTTAAATTACAAGAATTAAATGTCGCAAAAATTAAAATAGCAACTAAAATTGTTATTGCAAACTTATACTACAGGTAATAAAAAGGGACCCACCCAGGCTTGCCCACAGAATCATCAAACGGCACCGTTGCGACCTCAGCCGGTAAAACAATGATCCCACGCCCCACTTTTTCCTCTATCTGCGTACAAATTCTGCAACGCCACGACACCTAAACCGGCTACTCCGGTTTAGCATTATCCTCTCATCCACTACTCCCACCACCATATTTAATCCTCCCCGAGCTCTCGCCAACTCTTTCGTGTTCGTCGAGACAGTTTCCGATCATTGCCCACTCATCGCCGCCGCTGCTCCGCCTTCGATCTCACCTCTGTAATTCTCTACTTTAATCGGATGCATTTCTTAATTTTTTGTATTTGATCTGTACGTGATCGGATAAATTGATCAATTTGATCGTTGATGTGGAGACTGATTTATCAGCCTTCTTCTTCCGATTGATCCGTCTGTTTTTTTACAGAGTTTGGGATCCATTTGTGTTTCGCGTTCTGATTCGGTTCAATTCGTGTGGTCGGTTATGTTATTTTGTTACTGTTGTTTGTTTGTTTGCCTTGCTCTTTGTTCTTATTATTGATGGGGGCTTTTATTTAGTCACTCTGAATAGAAATCACAGCAGCAAAATGAATTTGATAGAGTGATATTAAGTACTCCATTATTGTAGAATATGTGTAGCTTTAATTGTAATTATTTTTGAAATTTTCTCTTGATCAGATGAAAATGCTGCTCAGATAGTCAAGAGATTGACTAAATATGCGCTTACAGTTTACCACGCTTTGACTTTCTTGTAGTCTATCCCATTAGCCTCCAAGTAGATGCATACATATTCACTGTGTTCTTATTAGTTTGACCATATCATGTATACTCACAGAAGCTCTTTAGCTTTGGTGTAGCCTGTCCCATTAGCCTCCCAAAAGATGCATATCATTCTCTCATTCTATTTTTATTGCTTTGACCATATCATGTGCTTACCGAGGTTCTCATTTTAATCATATGCAATGTTGGAAAGAAAAGGCTATTCTTTCGATGGCGAGTAATGAAACGGAAGAGGAAGCTGCCCATGGAAGTGAGTGGGAAGTGGTTTCACTTACGGCATCTGAATATGAATATGCCGCTTCTGGCGAGCTGAATGGTAGGGAAGAGTACGAGGGTCAAACTTCTAACGCCTTGTTTATGTCTCATCACTTTGCTCTTCCTCCATCAAGTCAGCATGAATATTTGCAACCGGAGCCAGAAAAGAATGAGATTCTTACCCAGCAGGTGGTTATAGAGCCTGAATTCGTCTCTGCAGATGGGGGTGGTAACACAGGTGTGAACAATCAAGAGCATCTGGAAACCAAAAAATTGAGCTCTTCCGAGTTTCCCGGGATGCAGATTTTTAATGAGAAGGCCCAAAAGGGTGATCAGTTATGTGTTAGTGGTGCAGAATGTGAAGATGATGCAACAAGGTTAGACCGGGTAGATAAGGAACCAAGATTATATGGAACTGCAGCCTATAGTACTGTTCTACAGGGTGAAGCGAACATGTCTGTTTTGGGTGAAAGTATTCCAGCAAGCAATGATCCATTAGAATCTCTTCCTCAGCAGGTAGACATCTTAGATTTTCCAGACGAAAAGAAACATGATGGAGATGATCGTCTTCCTTGTCAAGCTTGGTGGAAACGACAAGCTGCATCTCTTATCGCTCATGCTAAGGAAGCAAACACGTTCTGGTCGGTTTTCATTGCAGCAGCCGTAATGGGCCTCGTGATTATTGGGCAATGCTGGCAGCATGAAAGGTGGCTGCAGTCAAAGTGGCAGCAGCTTGGACTTCATGAAGAGGTGTGTCATGAAATGCATTACTTTCAATTATTGAAACATATATAATGATATATACTGATTACACTGCCTGTGGAGGACTAGTATTCTGTTATAATACTCCACTCTGCATTTAAGGCAGTCAGAATACAATCATCTGCTGGGCTTTTCTGGGTTTTTTGGGTCTCTAATAAACTGAATCAAGGACATATACTTCTAACATTTGTGCTCAACAGCTAAATAAGAGGCTATGATTTACTAATTGCAACAAAACATGATGCTTCATTTGTCCATATGTACAGAGGATGTGCAAGATGGTGGGTCCTCTATCGCGGCTTAGGAATGCAATCATTGGAGGTGAGCGTCGAGGTTCGTCTCTCAGAAGCAGCACCCCTGCTCAACGTTAAGATGATGACGAAAAAAACAATGGAGGTGGCGTCTCTTCACAACGCTAAGATGATGGCGAAAAATATGTAGAACAAACAGGCATTCTTTTGCCGGATATTGCAAAGTTTGCCCCCCGAGACCCTACTGTAGTGGGATTCAACTGGGTTGTTGTTGTTGCAAAGTTTGCCGATTGTGTGATATATACTGTAAATTATATGATGCTCTATTACTATAACAAACAGCCTCTTTACCCAGACTTTTATTTGGTTATTTATTGTATGATGCTATATATATTATTGCTCCGCTAGTAGCAATAGCATAATATTGGTAGCTTTTATGCACATGTATTGTGGGGTGTATTGTAAGATTTAAGCTTGGGGATGAATGAATATTCATATAATCCTTTTTTGGCTTTCACTTCATTTCATTTTGCGCCCATGCACTTACATATGTCCATTTGTGCTATTCTGCCATTTTTGTCTCTTTGAATGAATCTGCATAAGCACCATATGTACTCCCTCCGTCAAGCGTTCTTTCCACTTTTTCTAATGCCTTATAACCATCTTTCCACTTCCTAAAGGAGTGTGTGAAATGACTATGGCACCTCTTATATAATCAATAATCAACCTCTATGTGAGATTTAGAGATAGTTGTTGCTTGTGTGTCTATGATACAATTGATGTACAAGTGGTTTACAAATTTTGGTGTATACCAAGTTTTATTGTAAAACAAAGGCCAAATTGCCCAGTACTCTATGTGATTTAGAAAATTGACTCCAATACCCTCTTTTTTTCAAAACGTATTTTAAAGTCCATGTCATTTAAAATGTTGCACTTACATCCCCTATGATTATATTTTGTTCATTTTCTGACAAAGAAGGGACATTGATGACTATTTTATAAATCATAAAGGGCAGTCGTGCTCATTTCTTATTTTTCATAATTATTTGGTTTTTTTTCTTTTTTAAACTCTTTTTATCCTTTTGTTACCTCTTTCTAGAAAAGTTTTTAATGGTTTTTTTCAATTTTTTATAATGTTTTAAAAAATTCAAAATTCTTTGTGTTTGAAATAAAATTAAAAATAAAAAATTAACATATACTTCATCTATTTCGAACTAAACATTTCCACTTTTTGTTTTCTATAATGAGTAATATTTTTGGTATGATAAAAAAAATCCAAAAAAATAAAACTAAAAATAAAAATATGGGAAAAGGAAATGAAAATAATTGAAATATGCAAAAAAGAGTTATACAAACACGAATTTTCAAAACATCTTAAGAAGTCCTTTAAATAGGGACATCCAAAAAGGATATTCATTTTTTATATTATTTTTTATTTTATTTCTAATTGTTTGAAGTTCTAAGAATAAAATTTACTTTTTTATTTTGAAAAACAAAAAAAAAACAAAAAATGTTAAAATTTGAGATGTACAGATGTAGCTAGTTTATGTTAAAAAACATTTCAAACAAAATAAATTTAAATTTTAAGAACACTATAAAAACAATCTTAAAAAGTAATTTAAAAATCTTGATTAATAAAAGAAACAAATAAAGAAAAATAAGGAAAAAAACAAAAATGAATGAAAAATAAGAAATAAACATCGGTTTTCTTTATAATTTAGAAAATAGATATCATAAACCTCCTCCATAAATGATCAAAAAATGATTAGAAGAGATATTAGTGCAATTTTATATGTACATTTTGAAAAGAGGGTTACTAGTGTTTTTTGGCAGTAAAACAAAAGGGAAGATTTTGGGGAGGACTGGAGGGAGTATTCTGTTTGATTCTTCCCTGTTTACCGTCTTTCTTCTCTCTGCCATCTGGTGCGGCTCTTACCATCAATCTCACCATCGCCATAAAATAATAACCGACCACAGATTGCGGTTTGCGGAGGTACGAGCTTGCTTTTCTTCTCTATTTCTATTTTATAGATCCAGGTTGTTGGGGTTTGGGAGTACAATTCCGTTAAATTTTTTGTATAGTTCAGTCTCTCTATTTTGGAGTTCATGCCGTTTAGCAAGCATTATGTACTGTCAAGAACTATGCTCTCCAAATAACAGAGATTCGTTCGTACTAACCTTAAATTTCGACCCTCCTTTTGCAAATCCATTGATACCCATTTCGATTTTCACTTCAAATTTCATGTTTTATTTTGGCATTAAGTTGCACAAGTTGAGATTTTATGTGTGTATTTAAGAGCTCTTAACTTTTTTTTAATATTCTAAGTTCATTTGGTGCAACTTGAGCTGAATTCGTTGATTATCTGTGTTAATTTTGCCAAGTACTCAATTTCTTCTCTAATCTTTCGGTGTTTTTTTAATCATCTTTGATTTTAGCCCATGAAGTCTAGATTTTGATTTTTCTGATTTAAGTTTTGTTGTAGAATTTAGTAATTGGGTGTGATTTTCCCCCCTTACTTTGAAGTAGTTTTGTCTATACTTGAGGGTTTGTTGTTGTTGAAGTGTAAAATTGTAAGTGTACAACAACAAGAACCTAGTTGAATCCCACAAGAGTAGGGTTTGAGGAGGGTGTGTGTACGCAAACCTTACTCCTACTCGAAAGTAGAGAGATAGAGAAACTGTTTCCATAGAGACCCTCTGCTCAAGCACCACATGTAATCACGTACGCAGGTATGACCCCGATGTTTGAAACGTAGAGCGATTGTTTCAAGATGACACATGATGGTCGTCGAAAATTGCATTGACTAACTGCTACTTCACTATTAAAAGAAGCTGGTTTAAAGAGCCATTCTGCTTTATTCCAGCATACCGTAAAGCCAAATAATTGTAAATCTTTGGCTCCATTGGAAATAATGGGGAAAAAAATACTTTTGAGTAGTTGAAATTTAGGTTGACAGACAAGGAACACTCTACCTATGGCACAAGGTCTAGCGGGAGCAGGTGGTTGGTTCACTAGAGACAGACACCATGAAAGAATATGTGAGCAAGTGTGGCGTTAAGGAGAAGATGCATCTTAAGTCCCTAAAATTAGTGCTAAGATACAAAGAGGGGGGGGGGGGGGGGTTAAAACTCAACCTACAGTCAATCCAACGTGCTTCTTTTTTAAAAATGTTGTCCTGCTTGTGGGTGAGAACATACTCTTCTTAGTTCTAGGCTCTAAAGAAAGAAGCATGACTGATTACGATTTCAGATTCAGGATTAGCTTTTTTGGCTTGCAGGGATTCAAGAGTAGTATTCTTTTCTTGAAGTTTTGTATAGTTTAATCGTTGTGCATGACTTTTTTCATTAATTCTTAGAATTAGAAATTTCCTTGGATTTTTGAATTATTAAAGCTGGGTGGATCACAATCCTCCCATACACAATGAATTTTGACTAGTTCTCAAGAATCCCAAATCTGACTTTATCTAATTCAATAAAAAAATCAAGCAATCCAACAAATGAGCTTCAAAGGTAAGTAGGCTACCTGTATAGGTTTCAGTTTCTTAGTTTTGATCAAAGGACACCATCGATCTTCCACGACCGATTTTTCCAGACTACAAGTTCACAACCCATCAAAACCAACAGATCTCCCAAATCCACTATCTTTCACACAACCAAACATGGTAATGACTGATTAATGAACACCGTTAACTTACAAGGAAATCCAACCTAATGAAATTGACAGTTCCCTATAACTTAAGGGCATGACTTGCATGCCTAAAATGCCAACTTCTTAGAAGGTCAAATTTTATTTTCCTTCTTATTTTCCAAATAAAGCCAGCGTGATTTTTTAAATCAAATATTAGTCATTAACATTATCTTTTGTTACTAAACTTTTTCCACTACATCTTGGTGCAAAATGAAAATTCCATCCCATAATGTTATCATACCCATCAAAAAGGGCTAATCAAACACCCTCTAGCAGAATAGGACAAAATTTTGTTCTGTCATTGTGTAATTTGCATAGCAGTTTTACCTGTCAGCAGTTGGGATGCCGAAATAGTAATGTTATCAAGTCTATACTCCTTATATCGATGATAGATTGATAGATTCATAAAGTCTTCTGGTATGAGAATTCTGATCCCATTCAAATATCAAAGATAGATAGAAGATATAGAACTACCTCTCTCCCATAGTATTTGTTTAGTACTCCGTATTTCATTTTGGATCATCCCTCAGTATTTGTGCACTTTCCTATTTTGGCAATAAAACTTACACATTTCCAATTTTACCCTCTCAAATTAAACACCTTACCCCATTTACTCCCAAACCACCCAAATTAAAATTAAAATCTCATCCCTGCTACATTAAGATCTAGAATCTTGAACCCTCCATTGGCTCCACTTTGTATCTTCATCTACCATCGACGGGGACAGAGATGGTGATTCCCGATGTCGACGAACCCTAGCCCCGGCCTTATTTCCGATGGACCGCAAGGTACGATAATAGCGGAGTTAGGATCTAAAAATCTAGATCTAAAATGGGCTTTGGGTGGAATTAGATTAAAAGTCAGTGACCTATTTCACCGTCGTTCTCTCATCTTCTCCATATCTCCACCCGTAGCTCAATATCACTCAAAAGTCTAGATCTAAAATGTGTTTTCTAATTTTTTTTTCTTTTTGGGTTCGAAAGCAGAGGAAGGTGGAATTTTTTATTTATTTGACTTCTGATTTCAACCATAGATGACGGTGGAGGGCGGTGGCGTATCATAGCAGCATGGTGGAGGTCATTGAGCGTTAGGGGGTGGAACGTTTTGAGGGCATTGGTGTGGGTTTCTGTTGCAGTTGATTTTGTTGAGTTGTGATGGACAAGTAAGGGCATTATTGACATTTTACCCCTCACATTGGTTATTGTGCCAAAACTTAAGTGGACAAAAATTGGGGGACGGAGGGAGTATATACATTCATAAAGCATCTGTATGATTCTATATCTGGATGTTCCAGAATTTTGGGATTATCGGTAAGGAAATGGGTGAAGAAGATGAGACTTCACAAGTTACTAGAAGAGCCACTAGACTATCAACATCATCTGGGGAACTAAAAACAAATGATGTTGTGCCGGAGTTGAAACCTCTCACGGTAAACGATCTTGCTTTTGGGAATGAATCCATTACCTTTGATGAGTTGATGTCCAGTTTACCTGGAAGGCAGCCTCAAATTCGTCAACTTTTGCATTTATTAGGGCCCTTGAATTCCCCAATTTATCCACTTTTCATGTACGGTGGTGCTTCTGTGGGGAAAACAAGCACAATCCTTCAGACTTTTAAGTATCTAAAGAGGCCATTTGTGTACTGTAGCTGCATAACTTGTTATAGTCCTAGGATCTTGTTTGAGTCCATCTTGAACCAGTTGCTGCTGCACAGAAGAACCGAAAGCAACGGGTACTCAAGTGCAAAGCGGTGTAGTGATAGGCCCTCAGATTTTGTGAATCTCCTACAAGAAGCCCTTGCTAAAGTTGTTGATGATTTGAAGAGGAACGAGGAGATGCAAGAATGTAATAAGAAGTCAGCTCAAAGGAATGCGAATGGGAGGATGATTTACTTGGTATTTGATAATTTAGAGCTCATGAGGGGATGGGACAAGCATGAGACACTGCCCTTCCTGTTTAAACTCAATGATGTTCTGAAGAGGCCAGAAGTGGGGTTGATCTTCATTAGTCGGACATCTCCCGACACTTATTTCTCTGACAACGTGGGGTGTGTGGAGTTTGTTGATGTTTACTTTCCTGATTACACAGAAGATGATCTTCGCCAAATCTTAATGAGGAACCAAGCAAACCCAAAGCTGTATTCATCCTTTCTGGGGTGAGTTTTCGTCTCCTCTCTTTCTAGCTGTTGATTGCCTGCCTGTCATAGTTCCTCTTGGCACTAACCCCTTGTATTATTTTATTTATGTTTTTAATGGGTAAAGTGTGGTGCTGAGATCTTTCTGCCGAGTCACAAGACGAATTGATGAGTTGTCTGCTGCATTGTCACCACTATTCAAGATATACTGTGAGCCCCTTGATGACACAGGAGCAGTTCCTAACCAAGAGATGACCAATAGGTTGATTAATCACCTCAAACCACATATCGGACGATCAATGAATGAGGTCTTCAGAGTGTTGTCCAGACCCTCCTCTGAAACAACTGCCTCCAACGAGACCAAGCACAATAAAGTCTTTGAAAGTAAATCTTCTGGCCAGGTCGACTTTCACATGTCTGTGTGTGCAAAGTATCTTCTTATTTCTGCATTTATTGCTTCAAGAAACCCGGCAACGCTTGATGCCTCCCTCTTCGATCCAACTGGAGGATGTAGCAGTCGGAAGAAGAAGAGAAAGTAAGAACTCCCCCCAGCTTCTGTTGGAAGGCATTACATTACAGTATGTGGTTTTGTTTCTTGCTGATACAAATTCTTTTTTTTTCAGGGTCTCTCAGAAATCAGTGGAGCAGAAGGAGATTACAGAGCAAGAATCTCTCATGAAAGGACCAGGCACTTTTCCTTTGGAAAGATTATTAGCCATATTTCAGTGTATAACATCCATTGATGAAGAAGAAGAGGCTACGGAAGGGAAGAGGCTGGAGAATGGGTTGACATCGGATGTTCTCTTACAGTTATCAAGCCTTTGCAATGCTAATTTCATCAGCAAAGGAGGAAGCTGCCCACTGGAAGGCTCAATACGGTATCGATCTTTGGTGTCTGAAGATTTGGCCCTCAAGGTATCGATCATTCTTCAAGCAACTTTTTATTTACGTATTTATTATTACTTGGAAATGTTCTTCGATGTTTTAGTGTTTCACTGTATGGTCACAGGTTGCTCGGAGCCTGCAATTTCCTCTGTCGAAGTATTTGTACAGATGATGTTTGCTTGTTGCCCTCTGCAAATGTTAGCACTTCACACTCTATACAAAGAAGATGGCATTATTGGCATATGGTTGCACGTAATGCCATCATCCCTATGAGTCAGACTGCAAGGATGTCAAACCTTGAAAAGGGTATTTTGATAATATCTCATTGATTGGTGATTGTAAAACTCTTGTACAAGAGGATTAGCATTATTGTTTAAAATTTTAATGGTGTAGATTAATTTTGAAAATGTTTAAGGCTACTATATGTTAAAATATATTTTAGTTTTATTTAATTGAAGTTCAAAATTTATTCGATCTAACTCTAAAAAATCAAACCAGACAAATAGGCAAAATAATACTCCATCCGTCCCTGAATATTTGTCCACTTTTGATTTTTTTTGGTCAAAATTGGTAAAATTTGACCTCAAATTAAAAAAAAGATATGAGATACTAATACAAAAATAGTTTTATTAGATTTATTATACCAAATATTTTCAAAATATTATTTTACCTAATTAATATACAATATATATTTTATTTAATTATATGTCAAAATTTGACCGAAAAAAATTAAAACTGGACAAATACTCAAAGACAAGATAGTAATAATGATCCATAAATGAAGAAACTACAACACCATAAGAATCTTAACATGCTAAGCTAAGAAGCTTTATCAACAAAAACCAAAGCAGTGACTCCAAAAGCAATAATAGTTGCAACATACTAGTAGAGATTTGATCAACAGTACAGTCACACACAATACAGATTATAAGAGGAACACATCCATAGTTGCAACACAAGCAATACATAAAAGAAATTAGGTGGTCCAATCATCATCTTCATCAGCTTCCTTCTTCATCTTCACAAGTTGCTTCCACTCTTGAATGGGATGGCTCTGATGACAACTTGATGGTACAGTGCAGCAAGTGCAGCACCGATGAACGGTCCGACCCAGAAGATCCAATGGTCATCCCAAGCATGACCTTTGTTGTAGATGATGGCCGCGCCCAGGCTGCGGGCCGGGTTGATGCCTGTACCCGTGATGGGGATGGTGGCCAAGTGAACCAAGAAGACTGCAAACCCTATTGGGAGTGGAGCCAATATAGGGACATGGGAGTCCCGGGCATTTCTCTTGGCATCGGTGGCAGAGAAGACGGTGTAGACAAGGATAAAAGTGCCAACAATTTCAGCCCCAAGGCCATCCCCCTTGGAGTAACCGTGGGCCACCACATTCGCCCCTCCGCCGTTAGCCCCATACAGAGACGGCTGGAAGCCCTTCACCACCCCGGCGCCGCATATGGCTCCCAGGCATTGCATCACAATGTAGAAAACCGCCCTTGTCAGCGACAATTTCCTCGCCAGAAACAGCCCGAATGTCACTGCAGGATTGATGTGTCCACCTGTTTGTGTTTGGAACCACCGCGCCCACAAAAAACATTTTAAGTAATAACAAAATAAACTGCAAATAAACACTAGAACTGTTTGTCACAACATTCTTCCTATATTTTCTTCCCAAGCTAAGTTTTCAGACATGGTTATAAATTGAATAAGCTAAATGGGTGTTATTTAAAAACGGAGTAATTAAGGAATTTGTTACAAAAGGGCCCAATTTTGTCCCATGGACAAATCATTTCTATGATAAAGAAAGGGAGGGTGGGGCAAGCATGGTCCTTTTGTGAGTATGGACACATTAATTATGAATTACTATGGTTTAAAATCATTAAATTTGAAGTAATAAATACTCTTCCGCCCCTTTTCTTTTTTAATTTCCCTCAGAATAATTTTCTAATTTATTCAATTTTCACTTAAAGATATACACTCTTCTTTTCATAAAACAATTCTGCCCTAAAATAAAATTACTGAGACTTTAAAAATAAGTTTTGAAAACTTGGGATATTGGTGCCTATTTTCCAAATCTTTGGCCCAAAGATAGCATAGGGATTAGAGTAATATTCAGGAAGAAAGACCGACTAAAACATTGCAAATATAACAGGATTTCCATGCTTTTATTCCCGAAATAAGACTTAAAATACATTTACATTATCAAACATGGTCGTGTACATTACCAAAAAGTATAGTAACGTGCACATGTACAATATCACATTACAACAGTGCGAAGTCTTATGTCGGAAAAAAAACATGAAAGTCTTATTTTTGATATTTTTCTCTATGTTTTAATCCTATTTAGGACGATTTCTATAATATTTATCAGAAGCAGTAACATTAAAAAGAAAATGATGAGTGCACCTTAGATCTATCTGATGGAGGGAGTATAACAGTGGAGCACACATACATACATACATATACATACCTGAGATGCCGGCGGTGCAGTAGACGAGGGCGAAGATCATGCCGCCGAAGGCCCAAGCGATGCCCTGGACGCCGACGGTGGCGCACTTGCTGGCGGATCTGGAGTAGCCCATCACCGTCAACACCGTGATGTACAGGAACAAGAAGGTGGCCATGAACTCCGCGATTCCCGCCCTCCAGAACGACCACGAGTGCAGCTCCCCCGGCTCGAACAGCGGCGCCGGCGGCGACTCCCTGTAGTCCTTCCCCTGCGCCGACGTCCCAAGCGGCATCCTCTCCGAGTACTTGTTTGCCCCCACCTTCACATCTTCCTCTTTCCCCTCCATCCTCCCCCAATTCTAATCTCCCCCTCTCTCTCTCTCTAGAACTTACACACCCCCACCCACAGTGAGCAGAGCAACAAGAAAGAAGCTTTGATTTGCTCAGCCACAGACCGGAGTTAATTTCCCTTGCTCCAATTGCTGCCATAGTGGGCTTATATATTACCGACTCTAACCTTGTCTTGACCTAAGACATACTATCTCCTTAAATAAAAATAAAAAAAAATAAAAACTTACTCCGTATATGTTTAAAAAATACTTCGTATGTTTTACAAAACAAGAGGTTATAACAATATTTTATTTCACCAAATACTTAATAAATTACACAAATAAATAAAAGTTCTCGCAATTGTTGAATAGTAAATATGTAAATCATTTAGGAACGAAAAAAATAGTAGATAACTTGGACACAATTGATATACACATTACCAACAATATCTCTCTCACCAATTGCTTTTGTTGAAAATCTAATTTATGAGACCTTGTATGAGCTTAGCGATATCAACTATTCTAAAATAAATTTGTGTTACAAAAAACGCATAATCTAGTCTTATATTTTTCTTTTTTCCTGAGAACTTTTAATTTTTTTAGGTCAAAATTGGTGAACTTTGACCTCAAATTAAATAAGAATAATATTAGATACTGATACAAAAATAGTTTTATTAGTTTTATTATATCAAATATTTTCAAAATATTATTTTATCTAATTAAAATATAATATATATTTTATTTAATTATAAGTCAAAAGTTAAAACACAGTTGACCGAAAAAATCAAAACAGAACAAATACTCTAGAACAGAGGCAATAGTATATTCTGAAGACATAAACATCCACGACATTGAATGTGATTTGACACAGATAACCTTTATCGCGTGACAATTGACACACATTGCCAAATATTTACTCCGTCCATCTTAAAATTGCATTTCTGTTCTCATATTCATTGGTCAAACTTTTTCTTATTTTTTTAATTTATTTTTGTTACAATAATATAATCGTGTTATTTGGGATAAAAAATAGGGTAAGGAGAGGAGTGATGTACATTTGGAGGCTGTACCCCTAGCATATCCCTATTTTATACGGAGTACTCCGTATACTTTAATACGTTGATCGATAATTTTAAATAAGTTGATCGATAATTTTAAAAGGATAAAGTATATGCACCACAAGATAACATGGCTTCGCTGGCGCACACACACAAGTTTCAGGGTTATCATTTGCCACCTCAATTGTTCAATTATTTACACAATTTGCCCCAATGTGTTGTTGGGAAATGATGGTCGGCCAGCTCATGGAGTCAATAAAAGTTTAAAAAAGGAACAGATGCAAACGGTCTCATATGTCTCCACATGAAATACTACTCATATGTCATTTGAAAATCATTGCAACGGACAAAAACCCCACATCTAACCGACTAACCCCAATATAATAGAGAATTCAACCTTTTGCGTTTCGCAGTTAGCAAAGACAAGGAATGTCAAGAGAGTAATATCCGAATTGGATTCTTGCGAGATGCATTGTTGAACAACTATGTTAAGTATATGCTCTCTGTATCTATTTAAATTTATGATATTCTTTTAAAATTATTTTTAAATCATTTTATATGAGATTTAAATAAAAATAAAAAATAAAACTAAAGCCTTGCTGAATAAGTTGTGACATTATTATATTTTTATCAAATAATTAACGAAAATTAGTAAAAAAAAAAGATTAAATTTTAACTATATAAGTGGTAAATAAGAGTTTAATTTGGGACAGAGAAGTATATATAATATAATAACTTAATAAGTGTGCATTTTGTGATCTCTAGTTTTTTTTCATTTGTTTTTATTTGTGTTAGACTATTTGTAGTGTTTCACCACTACTCACTCCAAATCAACAACCATTCAACATTGATTATAATCACCTTTTTACTCAATTAATGTTTGTACTCCTCCACATCCACAACTTTTTTATCAACAAGGAGGGGGAGACCCCGAGCAAATCGCTCCGTGAAGTAGTAGTGTGCCGCATAATAGTGACACTCATCATATCGTCAGTACTTAAGTTTTTCAAATCTACAGTAGAGACCTCAAAAGTTCTCTATGAAATATCTTGAAAAGTCCCAAGGTTCGCAAAACTATCCGCAACCTTATTTTGTTCATGAAAGAAGGCTTTAAAGCTGTTTCTATGGAATCTGTCCGTCCTCTTTATTGTTGTAATGGTATCGCTGATAGGTCTCCTCAAACCCGTCAATCTTGTAATCTATTTGACAACTTCTCTAGCGTCAGTCTGCACCTCAAGATCCCTCACCCCTCTACCCCATGCCCATTGGATGCCTTTCTCAATGGCTTTAGCCTTGATTTTCTTGATATTATTTGGCCTAGTTCTTAGGGAAAAACCACCAAACCATTCTCCACTACTGTTCCGAATGACTCCGCCGCACCCAGCTCTGTTTGCCATAACTTTATTGTTTCTATCATCATTAAGAGTGAATTCGTGGTCAACTACCAGATTCCACTTTAGTGGAGGATCTCTTACATCCGGCAAAGAGGGGGCTGCTGCATGATTTTTGTTGAATGTCCCTTCAATCTCCTTGATTGATTCCTTGATTCAAGCCACTTTATACTGCGTGTCAAGGTTGTCTCCACCGAAGGCCACATAGTTTTGCCACCTCCAAATCCCCCAACATGTGACGACGAAAGTGACATCCCAGTTATTGTTATCATGTCTAACTTTTTGTTTCATTAAGTTGTCACCAACCCATCTCTTCATTTCCTTGTGACCTCCATTACTACCTATACCTCCATATATCATCAACAACATTCCAAATCTATCTTGCTTTTGGGCAAGTCCTAAAGATGTGAGAGGTGATTTCCCCATGGTCTCCATAAAGAGGGCAAGAGCTATCCGAAGAAAGGCTCAGCATTTCCCATCACCTTCTCATGGAAAATAGTCCACAAAGGAGCTTCATCTTGCTTAGCACTTTAATCTTCCAAATAATAGGCCTCCCATCTCCATGTATGTTGTTAAATCCCCTAATTATACTATAAGCCAACTTAATCAAAAACTTACTTTTGGGATCATGCTCCCAGTAGAATTTATCGGGAGTGCCTGTATCCAACTCCATGACCTGACACTGTACAAAAGAAATAGTGTTAGGTGGGAGGTTTGGGATTTTCTACCAACTCCACCCACTAGAGCCATTCCAAAGTTCAGCAACAATAACATATATGTCGTGTTCACTGCTGAAATCGCAAAGTGAGTTTTCACCAATGCAAGTGTCAAGACAGTGAATGCCAGCTTCAATCAGAGGCATTAGGCATAATCATCATGATTCCTCTCCAAGCATTACACGCTCTCTTCTTGTACATAAAAATATTTTTCCCACCTGTGCCTTTAGCATATTTAGACATCAACACAAATGTCTAAAGAGAATCTCATTCACTAAATTGTCTCCAACCAAGTTTAGCTAGCAATGAAAGCTTGATTCATTTCCTTAGCCGTTCTGATCCCCAAGCCACCCATTTCTTTAGGTTTTGTGACTTGTTCCCTGTTCACAAGGTGGCACTTATGATTATCACTTGTGCTACCCCGTAAAAAAGCCCCTCACTTTTTTATCTATAGCTTTTAGAACCCCTATGTTAGGCGTGTCGTAGCACCTACAAATTAATTTATTCTTTTCCTTTACTTAGTTCCTTCTTGTAAAAATAATATTTATTAAATCTATAGATAGGATAAGTAAGAGTCGATCCCACGAAGAAAGACATTTTTTTTAGGCTATGAAAATCGGTTTACTTTGTCACTTTTTATTGAGTGAAAACAACTATCTAAAATCTATAAACTAAATTAAAAGATGGGGGGTTTGAAAATTGTTTTCTAAATAAAGTAAAAAAAACTAACTAAAGTGACACACCACACCAGAACAAATCTCAAAACAAACCAAGGATAAAAACAGAACATAACTCCACCAAAAAGCCCAAACGAAGAAGACAAGCACACATAACACAACATTTTAGAGACTTAAACAATTTTAGAAAACCAACAAAATGTTTTATAATATAAAAAATAAATATCCAGGATCAAAACTTTGTTGAAAACTAGCATAATCATCAACCAACTATAAATTAAAACAAGGGTCCGGCTGAAAAAGAGGTCCACCAACGGTTCTTTCCTATTTT